ATAATACCAAGGCCTGCAAGCCAATCTGTACCTCTTTTTTGGGGTAACAGTGTTCTAAAATAATTTTAACAACGTAAAAACTGTCTATGACATCAAATATTCATGATGCATGAGAAAATACATTGTTTTAATCATTTAATTGCCTACCTACAAAATGTATAAGTCACTACATTGTAGCTTATGCCTACACACAAATAAACACTTGCGCACGAACCAGTACGCGTATGACTAGTGTCTCGTGAGGACTATGGGAAAATACCTTCTTTTGAGGACACCCCCTTTGAGGGGATTTAAATATAACTTATGAAATATCTCATCTTCTATTAGTCTAAGATTTTGCTCACAATTTCTTTCGATAAATTAAGCATATTTGATGGAGAGAGAAAGAGGCAAAAAATAGACTAGGGTCAGTTTTGACTTGTTTACGACATTTGTATATACATCTGAAGATCTTATTAACACTGGTGTAATTGCTACCACCAACAACGATCACCGAAAATCTGAGGATTATTGATTAAAAGTATCATACACGATTATTGATTATACTATAATTTTAAGTAAAGATCAATTATCACTTTTTGGTTAATGCTTTGTTCCTGTTTTTCGGCGTACGTTGTCTAAGTTTTAACAAGTAAACCACTTAGTCGAAATACTCTTCATAAAGTACAGACTGTGGTCTTTTTATGATCTCAAATTTTCCAACGCCATTTTAATGACTTCCTACAAATGGGTTCTAAAAATACTGAAAATATCCTTCAGCACATACGATACGAGGACAACACATGCAGTGCAATCTTCTCCAGATGCACATTGCATCCCGCACCACAAGGACACCATGGGAACTTTCTTTTCCAAACAAATTGTTTTTCGGTCTCACTGAGCAAATCTTGTAAGGTCTAATGAGAGTAACTTCTCAAAATAATGAAGTACATTGTCTTTTCGTATTTCCAAATATCTAGGGTTTCCATGCTTATGTCTAATAAGGGGCTTACCTTGAATATGCTACATGATATACTGTCATGTACATGTACTATCCTTTTTTCCCTTCTCTCCTTCCTTTTTTTTTTTTTTATTTATTGCTCTTCTTTTCCTTATTTCTTATTGTTATCTTTTTCTTTATTCTTCTTTTTCTTTTCTTAAGTTGTTATCCTGTTTATTCTCCTCTTCCTTCTTTCCTCATGCTTTCCTTCGTTATATCATGCTTCCGTCATCTTCCCTAATTGTCTAAATAGTTATGCTTCTTTCATGTTCTTATGACTAAATTAGGCTTCTTTCAATATTTAAAAGTGAACAGAGAAGATGGAGAAGGAGAAAAGAAATACCCCAATGGGGGGGGGGGGGGGGGGGGCACCCCTGGAATTACATAGAATAAATTATTATTTTTTTTGTCAGATTTTTCTGCTTCTATTGAAAGGGTGGACTTCCCTTTGAGTCATATCCAAGAGACTTGGTAATGAGGATTTGAAAAGATACTCTCTGTTGGCCTCAAGATATGCAGCAACAAAAGTTATTTAGACAACTTATGTTATGAAACGAGCCTTCCTAGCAGTTTGATTTGTTTTTATATGTATACAGATGGGATTAAAGTTTGGAATTTGTCTTATTTACCAATGTCTGGACGAATTCCTGTTCATCATGACTTTTTAAAAAGTTTCAGGTTTTTACAAAATGGCATTTATCAGATTTGACCTAGTGTTACCTCTGATGTTTATACTGCGTCTAATTAATGGACTGAAGTGAGTGTGAATTGTTTTATTTTTCACAAATGATTTGATTTGATTTGATTTGATTTGATTTTATTTATTCATCATCAATAACATCAGTGATTAAACATTTGAATACATCGTGAATGGTACATGTTCATAAATGAATATTATAGATCATATTAAAGAAAAACCTAACAAAGTATTGATATGCTAGACATATGTCTTTTCTCATAGAATATAGAAGGTGATGAAAAGGAGCCAAATAATAGCACATGTGCTAGTCGAGTCTGGCCCCTGTTCTTAGCACACACTTGGCAAAAATAAATATATCATTATCAAAAAATAAAACCTGACAGTAGAAGTATACATGTTGAGTAATACCGTAGCACAATTTCTACACTCCAAATATAATTATGAAGAGGATATACCAGGTTAAAAATTCATAGATACATGTATCTACAGATTATTTATACAAAAAATTGCATTTTTTTGACAAAAAAAAACAACAAAAATGTAATATGGAGATTATTTACAATATATGCATGTGTACTTGCATAATTCAATCACTTATTCATCAAGTAATCGTTGAGATGTTTACGAAAAGTGTTTCTAGACCCTTTGTTTTTGATTTCATCGGGAAGTTCATTCCATAATCGGGTTCCTACACAAGTTACTGAAAATTTGCCTTGTGTTGTTTTATACAGTGGTATACGTAGATGGCCCTTTTCTCTTTTTCTTGTATTGTATCTATGCTCAATTTTATCACAATAATCCGTCAAACAGTGAGGTAAATTATTATGTACTAGGTCATACATAAATGTACATAGAGACAACTCATAGAACTTGTTAATATCTAAGATTTTCAATTCGTAAAACAATGGTGCTGAACGACTCATAAAATGGCTAAATGTGATTGTCCGTATGGCCATCTTCTGTGTATACAGTATGCAATTTAAGTGAGACTTGTAAGTGCTCCCCCACACTTCAATTCCGTATGATATATGAGGTTGAATAAAGGTTTTATACAACAACACTAGGATATTTCTAGGCACAAAATGCCGTAAGCGGAAGAGGATTCCTACTTTTTGTCTGATGCATTTATTAACCATTTGTATGTGGGGTTTCCAAGTCAAGTGTTTATCAATCTTTATCCCAACAAAGAGCGAAGAATCAACTTCTATTATTTCAGCTTCTGATATAGCCAGTTGCCCTTGAACATTAATCTGCCGTCTCTGGTTTCTTATTAGCATATAACTCGTCTTTTGTAAATTAATTGTCAGTTTATTAGCATTACACCAGTCTGAAACAATTTGAAGATTTGTGTTCACTTCAGTCATATCAATTTCTTTTTGCCCTTCAGGAAATGTATGGAATAAGTTTGAGTCATCCGCAAAGAGTCGAAAGTTAAAGTAACGTGTAGCAAATGGCATATCATTAATATAAAGTAGGAAAAGCGTTGGGCCTAGGACAGAGCCTTGCGGTACACCACATGTTAAAGGCAGCATGGGAGATGTTACATTTCCGTACTGTACAAATTGAAATCTTCTATAAAAATAGTCCTTAAACCACTGTAATGCTATTCCTCGTATTCCATAGTGTGAAAGTTTGCTGTATAAAATATCATGATTAATTGTATCAAATGCTTTCTTAAAGTCTACAAATATCGCAAGTGTGATTCTTCCCTCATCCATTGAATTCCTCAAAGTGTTAACTAAATTTATCATTGACAATTTTGTACTGTATTTTTTACGGAAGCCATACTGGTGCTCATATAATACATGATTTTTTTCAAGAAAGTCAAGAAGCCTATTATTTACAATTTTTTCAAAAACCTTCCCAAGAACAGGTAATACTGAAATAGGTCTATAATTTCCTGCTTCATCTTTAGGTCCTTTCTTATAAACAGGTGTCACTTTTGCTATTTTAAAGGCATCTGGGAATTTACCAGAGGTGAAAGACAGATTGAAAATAAATGTAAGGGGAGAAGTTACATAGTGCACAGCATCTTTTATCAGCTTGATTGGCATATTATCATACCCACTAGCTTTCTTTACATTCAAGGCTATTAAATGGTTGTTAACCTCAGTCTCAGTAACTGGTTTCCAGAAGAAAGATTTGTCTACACCATCGTCTAAAACTTTCTCTGTATTACGATTTGTGTTTGGTATGGCATTCGCCAAATTTGGACCAACATTAACAAAGAAGTCATTAAATGCATTTGCAATATCTTGTTCATTACACAGGGTTTCATTAGTACCAGTATCATTCACACACAATTTATCCACCACTGTTGGCTTAAACGAATTGTTTCCACCACTTAAAATCTCGTTTACAGTCTTCCATGTTTTGCTAGTATCACCCTTATTTTCAAGGAATATCCTACTATAGTAATTTCTCTTTGAGTTTCTGATTATTGTAGTTAACATATTCCTGTACTTCTTGTTTGTTGTTAAATAGACAGGATTGTGGTTGGTGGCAAGAACCTGTGAATACATTGTATGTTTCTTTTTTATGGAATTCATTATAGCTTTTGTAATCCAAGGTTTCTTAGGTTCGTTCTTTCTCCTTTTACCGTGTTGAGCTACAACTGGTGCATGCTCATCACACACTTTTGTCATGATTTCACAAAAACGGGAGTATGCGAGATCAGCATCATCCGCTGCATAAACTGATTCCCATGTTATATTGGCAAGCTCAGCATGGAATTTTGTAACATCATAGTTCTTGTAAGAACGAGACATTAATTTTCCTCGGCAAGACTTTTTCTTAAATTGTATATTAGACTTAAAAATGGTAAAGATCGGAAAGTGGTCTGTAACGTCAGATTCAATTATTCCTGCATGAATACTGGGAACATTCATATTGGTATATATATGATCAATCAAAGAGAAGCCATGTTGCGTTACTCTAGTAGGAAAATTAATCAATTGATGCATGCCGATACATTGCATGGAGGTGAGAAAGTTATCAGCTGCCATTTCATCGCCTAGAAGATTGATATTGAAGTCTCCAGTTAGCACACATTGACTTTTGTCTAATTTCAGATCATGTACGATACTTAACAGACTATCCTGAAACTCATGAATATCTGTATTTGGCTTGCGATAGATGACACCAATAATGATCTTCTTTTCATTAATTACTACTTCCAACCAAAGTGATTCAGCATGTGCTACTTCAAAATTTCCCAAAAGCCTGTATTTAAGGGAAGAGTGAATGTATGCACCAACACCTCCACCTCTTAAAGTATGATTGCGGCATTTCACCTCTAAAGTATAGCCTTGTATGCCCAAGATGGATGTGTCTGGTACGCTCCACACTTCAGATAAACATATTATATCAAATTTTGATTTGATACTACATTCGTATAACAGTTTTAGGTTTTCTATATTTCTATTCAAAGATCTGATATTGACATGTGTAAGAGAAAATGCATTTTCAGTTTTGGTTTGCAGAACATCATCAAAATTAACAGGAGTTAATTTGTGTGAACTAAGACACAGATTGAGTTCATTGTCCTCCATTTTAAAGTCATTTTTCTATTAATGACTTAAAATTACTCAGATGAAAAGAAAATCAAGCAATGACAAATAGCTTGAAGCGAGCGTAATCCATATCATCAAGTCCAAGATCAAAATGGCCAAGAAATTCCCCAAAGAAGTGCAAAATATTTGTGTATTAAGGTAAGGTAAGGCTTTGTGTATAGTGTCCGTGACACCAGCCACCCCCTGTTGTGTTGCTGTTCATAAATTGATAACCAAAATAGTTTTCTCCAGGATATTGTAGGGTATTAACCCTAGGGTATGGATGAACGATTTGGGGTTGATGAAACTGCTCTATTGCATACTTCATTTTTGGATCCAAGTGCGAATGGTTTTGCACCCTGATTGTGGTCATACCGAATGTAAGTTTTGTTGGATTATGTGAGAATTTATTTGTTATCATTACCAGAACTCAACCTCATCTTTATAAAGAACCATATTAATAGCTTAATAACAAGAAAGAAAAATAGCAACAGTTAATCTAAATCGAACTCTAAGTGACAACAACAAAAGTTTCATAGTTTGGTCTTTACCTTCGTACTTTCTGGTGCCACATCATTTGATAGAGCAACTATTGTTTCTAATTCTTTTCAGATGAATGTAATAACCGTTGTCTCAATGGAGCGAGCTGTGAGGAAGGCAATTGCACATGCCCAGCAGGATTTGATGGCGATATGTGTCAAGATAAGCGTAAGTATCTTTAATATTTGTTTTTGTCCTGAACGAATTCCTGTTCATGATTTGATTACACAGGATATTTGAACAACCCGTTTGCATGAACACACACGCACTTTCAATTCGTTTCAATTGGTTCCAATTGGTTTTAATTGGTCTCAATAGGTTTTAACAGAATTCAATGGGACTTTAATAGGACTTCGGATGGTTTCAATTGGTCCAGATTGACCCCATTGGACAAATTGGCTCCATTGGCCTAGGCCCATTAAACTTTAATGGGTCCCCAATTGGTTTCGATTGGTCCAGATTGGCCCCATTGGCCCCCTTGGCCTAGGCCCCATTATACTTTAATGGGTCCCCAATTGGATTCAATTGGACCAATTGGCCTTAATCTGGACTTCAATTGGTCCAATTGAAACCAATTGAAATTCCATTAAAGTCTAATAGGGCCAATTGAAATCAATAGAAACCAATAGGACCAATGCTAAATTGAAACCGATTGGACCAATAGAAACCTTTAGGACCAATACGACCAATAGGACCAATAGAAACCAACAGAAACCAATAGAAACCAACAGATCTAGGCATCTCATGAATATTCATTATCACTTTACAAGTGTTACAGAAAAATAAATTTATCATGATTTGTTAAGCAAATTATGAAAATGCACATCAATTTTGTGATTTCTATTTTCCTTCGGCAATTATTACTCTATAGATTATTTTGTCTGATCATGTAACAATTACATTCACGTTTTAGCAATAGATATATTGATTATATGATTACTAACCAAGAAACAACATGCATATTTAGTATATATATGTGTACGAGCCTGTGTCACTGTAAATGTAACTCTTGAATTCACTTCAAGTGATCTATGTGATGAAGTTAATGCAAATGAATCCCAATTCAATACCAATTGGCAATTTGGAGTACATGGAAAGTGAAACAATGGGTACCCATTAAGACCAATTGCCAATTGGTCCCCATTGGAACCAACTGTCAATTGTTCCCCATTAAAAAAAAAACCCAGTTGGTTTCAATGGGGACCAATTGCCAATTTGTTTTAATGGGTACCCATTGTTTCACTTTCCATGTACTCCAAATTGCAAATTGGGATACAATGGGGACATTCAATGGGGCTTCAATTGGATTTTCGTCCCATTCATGCCCTAATGAATTACGGCAATATTTGCAATGCTTCTGACACCTGAGATAAAATGAAAAGGGTAATGTAATTGATATTTCTTTGCTCTTTTTATAAACAATCCCTTCAATATACCAGAGACATATGTTGAGTGTGGAACTGATTCAATGACCGTCAATATAGCTGAACAGCTAGTCCCAGGTGACGCATCTGCTGTTCATTTTCGAAACCGATCCCAATCCTGCTCCGGTGTAAACAGCTCGACTAGCACTGAGATCACTCTCACTACAGGCTACGATCAATGTGGCACCACCTTTGAGGTATGACTCCTTAAATGATAACTGGTATGAATCACTCGTGTTGCCATGGCTACCAATACCATGGGCGTGTGCGGGATGCGTGAATAGGGGTTTAAAAATAATGTTTTGGGTCCCAGTAGAGCGCATCCCCTAGCGGCGTGGGGTCCAGGGGCAGAGCCTCAATATGTTTAATTTGAAGTTTGTTGGGACATGCATGACATGCTGGCATAAATGCATTTCTGTTTCTTTTCATTCAATATATTCTTTTATTCTTTAAGTACCGATTGTCAAAGTCCCGGAATCTATCCTGCTCTGCATCCCATTCTGCAGTGCTGTTGACGTTTCTGTTTTTTTTTTCTCTTCGTAAACTTAGGAAATATCATAAGACGGTGATAATGTTTTTTGACATCTTATTCCGCTACGACGGCACTTGATATTAAAATCAATTAAGAAAGTGAATTTGCTGCACAAAGAAGTCAACAATGTATTTTGTCCATTTTCACATCACATGAAACATTGATATTATGGGCAGATACGAATGTAAAAGTGATTTATTATCAATGATATACGTTTTTATTTTGATATAATTTACATGATTTACTCGCATTATGCTAATTCTATAAAACGACAACTGGAAGCATATTTAAAATCCTTCGTTTTGAGTTAGAGGCATATTAATTTTAGGTCCTATGTAATAAATCTACATTTTGTATTCTTCATCATCTGGCATAGAACGCAATTCATAATTGGTTTTGAAATTTGGAGAAACTTGGGTTTCACTTCTGTCTCAAGCTATCTATTTTGTTATCCTAACATATACATCTACTTGTCATTTGATACGCATTATACAACGTTGTTTCACGTCTCCCGGATGGTCAGTAAAGCTATGGTCACATCCCCAAGAGTAGCCTGCTCGGCGGCCGGGCGGCGAGTTTATAGCCAACTTCGTCCGGCCACCGAGCGGCAGCCGCCCGGGCACTGCTTGTTTTTGTCGAGCAGGCCACAAATCGATCGGTCGCCGCTCTGAGTTATGACCATAATTCAACGAAACTGCCTATCATGTCTTGAAGGACAGAGCGCGACTCTCAATTTATTCACTTTATAAATCGTTGGTCTCTTAGGAGCATTCGTCTTTCCTTTCCTTGGGGGGGGGGGGGGGGGGGCGTGAGAGGGGCTTCTGTCCCAAAGCCTCCGGACACCAATAATTACAACAAAATTTAACACCAGTATTTTGGTATGGGTGATTAGATGATTAGATCATGATGGTATACTTCATTATTTTAATGAAAAGTAATTCTTTCTATAACTCAGCATTGGGGATATAACCGGTGATATAGCCCGAACAGTAACTCCATGTGTCACTGATTCATGTTCATATTCAGTAATGCCATTACAGGACAGAGAGAGATACAACATTAACCTCAGCGTCATCTTAAAATCGCAAAAAGAAAGTGTTATACATTACAATGTATACATCAGTCTTTGACAAAAATCAAACTGGATACTGGGTTTCATTTGTTGTTTTCGTAACATTCATTAATTTGATATTACTTGCTGTCATTACAGGAAGATAACACAACTATAACCTTCATCAACGTAATAACTTACGCCAAGCCTGGTTCGGAAGACAGTACCATAATCACCCGTGAATATCACATGCAGGTTCGGGTTGAATGTTGCCTCAAGAAAGAGGAAGTCATAAGTGGGTCCTTCAAACCACAGCTTGGTGAGGTAGCATTTAGTGACAAGGGCTCTGGTGACTTCAATCTGAGACTGGAAAGGTTCCAGACAGATTCTTTTAATAAAACACAATCCGAAACCACTTCCGTTGTCTGGAAAGGAGATGACCTTTACTTTGGTGTGGGCCTTGAGTCGGTACCAGGTATTGGTATGTTTATTGATCGCTGCTGGGCGACAACCACTGAAGACTCGGCTGCCAACCTACTTTACTCTCTAATTTCTTCAGGGTTAGTAGAACTTTTCATGAGCCTCAAGAAATATATATCATATAGTGATGGGATAGTGGTTCATTCACTTGACTCTTAATCCAAAGGTTAGAGGTTCCAATACAAGTCCGGCGCTTAGGTCTTTTGGCAAGACATTAATCCACATTTGCCATTCTCCACCCAGGTGTTATTCGGTAACTGGTTTACTGCTTGGTTAATAATAATTTGAAGGCCCTCAGGAAAATTGGCATTGATGCTGATGAGGCTGCTCGGCTTACTTCGTTCCGTCTGGTGTTCAAGTCGGGTCGGGCTGTCGGGTTCTACAATCTTTCTTAAAAAGTAACCTCAAAATTACGAAAAGTCGTGTGCTTCATGTTGTCGGATTAAACGATATTTTGTGAAGATATCCCCCAATGGTCAGGTAATTTGAATGCAAATAATCAGAAGCTTTCAAAGATGCTCTTTGAGATACGGATACAGAATACAAAATAGTACAATGAATATTAGTGGCAACAATATTCAGTCCTGACTGATTGCCAAACAAATAAAAATAAGAGCAACACATTTTTAAAAAGATATCATCAAAAACGAGGTTTTGATCGCTAGCCTTTTTTAATGAATGCATATATCTCGTATTAAAAGCGTTAGGCCGATACATGAGTTTTCTCAGATTTGTTGTAGGTTTATCGGAAAGTGTATGGTAAACTGGAGCCAACACTTTGGCGTTAAAGGCGAGCTGTACAGGTTCAGCCAGAATGGATTAGACCACACAGCGAGTTCATCGACAGGTGGCTATCTCATTAACTCAGCTCTCAATTAACATAAGAAAAAGAGGATCATGGGGGACCAACAGGCACCGATTGGGGAAGTTTTCTATATAGAGGGAGCAAGTAGCTACCAGTAGTACAGTGTGGCTTTATAAGAGGGAAGTTTTTCACAAATGTTATACCTGACCCTTGGGGAATCACGACTGGATTTTTCACGAGACTTTTAAGTAAACCGAAGACGCAAAGAACCGATGGAACGAAATAAGCCATGTTATCGTTATGAGTACTGTAATCAAAACCATTATTATTGTTATTATTATCATTATTATTATTACTAATATTCTTCTTCTTTCATAACGAAATTGCATGACTCCCTAGCCGTTCTCTCACGGATCTGACTCCTAACTAGAGTACATTGTTTCAATTGGTTCAACAGTTGCCCAGATGAGGACACAGTTAATATGAAACATCTACCTGGATTGAATCGAGAAGGCTTTTCTTTTAAGGCATTTGCCTTCGTTGGAGATTACACTGAGGTAAAATATTTAGATGGCATGAACTTATACACCTAATTTTATTAGAATTGTGTTTTCCCATTACATGAGTATATCGCAAGAAAGATAAATTGTAGAATCTCGGCCCACAGTTAAGTCATCTCTGCCCTGTCTCTTTGGGTTCAGTAATTACCTACGTGTAAATGAATGGTAACATCGTGCAAGCCAGGTCTTGAACACTTTCACTGAGCTCTATGGTACAAGATACAGGAACTTGAATCGTATTACATTTCACGTCATTTTATTAAAGACTTTTTTTAAGCCCTTTAAATTTTTTTTAATAACAGCAGAAAATGAGAGTAACACATTTTGAGCAATATCCGGTTAGAAATAGGAAAGTTATAGCAACATGATGTTGCCTTTAGTGAAACACGAATTGTAAGGTACCTTGCCGCGAGCTCTTCTCCATTTTGCTCTATACATAGACATAAACTTTCATTTTCTTATTTATTGATGACGGAATAGATATGTTTCATAATGGGGTTTGATAAAAAAGCATATTTGTAATAATCATATTCAGGGCGAATGTATGGTTTGAAATTTCTGAAGATGAATTTAGATTCTTGACGTTTATAACATGAACCTCACAAGATACATCAAAGAGAAGCCAATTTTTTGTTGAATGCTTCTTCGTAAATTCATAACTTTCTTATCTTTAATCGTTTTTTTAGTTAAAACTTTCACTGACCCATTTCTCTCGATTTTTCTGCTTCTATTAAAACCAACCTAAAGGGATAGTTGAGTTCTGTTGCAGAGGGCGTTACACAAAATATTTTTTTGTGAGATAATGAAAAACTTGAGTGTCAAATTTGAAAGAACATATATACAATTTAAATGACAAGATCATCTTTGTTTGATCAAAATCGGTTAAAAAACGGCTGAAATATCCATTTCTAATATTTGTGGACCACCACAAATATCAGATAATTTGAACCAGCTGTTGAAAAAACGAAATAGCACATTATACGTTTTATTCCAGCCAATGCCGATGTTGGCTTTTTTGGCTTTTTCGTATTTGTTATAATACGCACAGCGAGCCGGCCCATGTATTGTTATTATTGGTATGATCGTATTGGCTAGATTTCACACATGTTGGATCTAAAAATACCTTCATAGCAATTTTAGGTCCTGAAAGGGCACTAGAAATGTCAAAAATAAGAATAAGAGCAATAACCATGCCCTTTGAAGGCATTTGCGGTCTGAAACAAGAACTCAACTATCCCTTTAAAGGGATCCGGTAACTTTGTCTCAGACTCTGAAAAAAAATCCTGGAATCAGCTCATGCTGCAATCATAATTATAAACTTTAGGTCAATCAGGAACCCCATGACTTGTACAAGCCGATCGCATATTTGATTATCAAGATATTTATGATTGGAGTTACACATTTTGAAAACCGTTTGCTAAACGGTTTTCTTAAGACTACAGTCTATTGGGGAAAACGAGTATGGTAAAACCGGTCACTCAAATATTTTTACTTTTTTTGAGGCACTTCTTGATAATTTTGAAGCGTAATTTTAGGAAAACTTTAACAGCACATTTGTTTGGATGTTTAGACAGTATCAAAAAATCTATTGTAATGCATGCATCATCATATTTTATTTTTCTCAGGTGTACATTCATTGTTCAGTGAAGGTATGTGGTGCCGCGAAGGCTCAAAAGTTTCGAGACGCAGGATGCCCCTCAGAATCTCCACCTCCCGGCCGCAAACGTCGATCTTCGTCCGTTATGTCCACTCACACCATCAGTAATGGTCCGATCCACATCGGTCGCTCAACCAGCGATATGGCTACTAATGGTATGTACTATTTTGGAACAACAACCATTTAAAAAATCTGAAATTGTAACATTTTCCTCATAGATAGCTTAGCACACTCAGTTATGATAATTCTTTACAGGACACAATAAGGATTGCAATAACTTAAAATATGCCATTAGCAGATGCTCTTTTCTATTTTCTACTTAAAGGTGGAGGGGACGGGGAGGAGGGGGACGGGAAGGAGGGTCGTTCCCTGTTTCCATGGATACGCTTGTGAATATATCTAATCCACATCCGATTGTTCTACCATATTTTATATTTTCCAATATCCACAGATTTGGCTTCCTACAACCCTCTTGCGATGCTCCTCCTTGGAATGATAGCAACATTGGTTGCTATGGCAATCCTGATGGGTGTGGTCAAGCTTGTTCGTATCTCATCCGATAACACTTACTATCAGCGAGTTCCTATTGCTGAATCCTGCGAAGGAAATGAGTAGTGAGAAAAAACATCAGCTCCAAAAAGGGCCATGGTTTGGAAAATATTCTCCATCTTTATCGATCATTGATTTGAAATCGAAACAGGACTTCCCACAAAGTCGTTTTATTCGAACATACAAAGGGGGACACTTCATATCGTTAACATCTTTCATATAAACTGTTAATAAATTATACTACAATAACACGAATTTGTCAAGAATATGGCGTCCCCAAGGCTCTGTGGTCGGCCCTCATTGCTTTAACATTTACATTCAGCCAGTGGTAGATATCTTACATAAATACTATTTCTTAAACCATATTTACGCCGACTACATCCAGATACACTGCGCATGTAATCCGAAGGTTCCCCAAACCATCAACAATACACTGCGCAAACTACAACAGTGTATGTCTGATGTTCAGTCATAGATGTTGGCTAATACACTGAACCTTAATCAGGACAAGACAGAATTCATGATTGCGGCATCTCAAAAGTACCATCAACAGTTACATCATGTCCATCTTAAGATTAACGATCATATCATCATTTCACCTTCACAATCTCTTCGCATATTAGGTGTTAGCTTTGACAAGCATATGAATATGTTTTAAATGTAGGTGTTAGCTTTGACAAGCATATGATTATGTCAAATCATGTTTTAAATGTAGGTGTTAGCTTTGATTATGAATATGTCAAATTATGTTTTAAATGTAGGTGTTAGCTTTGATTATGAATATGTCAAATTATGTTTTAAATGTAGGTGTTAGCTTTGACAAGCATATGAATATGTCAAATCATGTTTTAAATGTAGGTGTTAGCTTTGATTATGAATATGTCAAATTATGTTTTAAATGTAGGTGTTAGCTTTGACAAGCATATGAATTTGTCAAATTATGTTTTAAATGTAGGTGTTAACTTTGACAAGCATATGAATTTGTCAAATTATGTTTTAAATGTAGGTGTTAGCTTTGACACGCATATGAATATGTCAAATTATGTTTTAAATGTAGGTGTTAGCTTTGACACGCATATGAATATGTCAAATTATGTTTTAAATGTAGGTGTAAGCTTTGACAGGCATATGAATATGTTAATCATGTTTTAAATGTAGGTATTAGCTTTGACAAGCATATGAATATGTCAAACTATGTTTTAAATGTATCAAAATATGTTAATTTCTATTTACGTTACCTCAGTAGAACAAGGAAGTTCGTATATACAAAGATTCTTCAATGTAGTTTCAAGATCTCTTGTTAAGTCTCGCGTAGATTAGTGTAATTCATTTCTATATGGTATATCGCTTATGATCTTAACCCCCTTCAGCTCCCCCAACATAAAGCACCACGGCTCATTCATTGGAAACAAAAGAGAGTAAACGTCTCGCCTCCCATCACTAATCTTCACTCGCTGCGCGTTCTTGATCGTATCATACAGAAGACCCTCTCATTTACAAGTGTTTCAATAAGGCCTAAAATAAAAACTGGTTGTATTGCCCTTTGCGAACGACCCAAAGATCTGAAAATCTTCGGTCGGCATTTAAAAAAAGTTTTTTTTTGTAAACCGTTTTTTAGATTTTTTAAATATTATTAATGAATAAAAAAACAAGTATTTTGTCTGTTGGGATAAATGGGATATAAATGCATCAAATCAAATCGTTCTCAAATTCTCACTCGTCTTCTGCCCTAGTAATTCAAAATCCTACTAGCGTAAACATCTCGATCAACATAACATTGCAAACCATGGATTATTATGAGGTGAAAAAGATGATTACAGCATTAAAAACAGAGAAATATCAGCCAAAAGAGGGCGGGGAAAAAAAGGAAAAAAAGACATTAAAAACTGAAAAATATCGGCCCAAAGAGGGCGACAACAAAAAAAATTCCGACCGACCGACCCATGTTTTGGCACGCAAAGGGCAATACAACAAGTTTTTTTTTTTAGGCCTAATAGGGACAGTTAGATTTGCACATCGACATATTGGACTGCTGTACGTGTCACGTCCTTTTAAGGCACTGTAATTTCCTTTTAATGCACTAGCTGTGATGTCCTTTTAAGGCACTGTGATTTCCTTTTAATGCACTAGCTGTGATGTCCTTTTAAGGCACTGTGATTTCCTTTTAATGCACTAGCTGTGATGTCCTTTTAAGGCACTGTGATTTCCTTTTAATGCACTAGCTGTGATGTCCTTTTAAGGCACTGTGATTTCGGCATTAGCTGTGATGTCCTTTTAAGGAACTGTGATTTCCTTTTAAGGCACTAGCTGTGATGTCCTTTTAAGGCACTGTGATTTCCTTTTAATGCACTAGCTGTGATGTCCTTTTAAGGAACTGTGATTTCCTTTTAAGGCACTAGCTGTGATGTCCTTTTAAGGCACTGTGATTTCCTTTTAATGCACTAGCTGTGATGTCCTTTTAAGGCACTGTGATTTCGGCATTAGCTGTGATGTCCTTTTAAGGAACTGTGATTTCCTTTTAAGGCACTAGCTGTGATGTCCTTTTAAGGCACTGTGATTTCGGCACTAGCTGTGATGTCCTTTTAAGGAACTGTGATTTCCTTTTAAGGCACTAGCTGTGATGTCCTTTTAAGGCACTGTGATTTCCTTTTAATGCACTAGCTGTGATGTCCTTTTAAGGCACTGTGATTTCGGCATTAGCTGTGATGTCCTTTTAAGGAACTGTGATTTCCTTTTAAGGCACTAGCTGTGATGTCCTTTTAAGGCACTGTGATTTCGGCACTAGCTGTGATGTCCTTTTAAGGAACTGTGATTTCCTTTTAAGGCACTAGCTGTGATGTCCTTTTAAGGCACTGTGATTTCGGCACTAGCTGTAATGTCCTTTTAAGGAACTGTGATTTCCTTTTAAGGCACTAGCTGTGATGTCCTTTTAAGGCACTGTGATTTCGGCACTAGCTGTGATGTCCTTTTAAGGAACTGTGATTTCCTTTTAAGGCACTAGCTGTGATGTCCTTTTAAGGCACTGTGATTTCGGCACTAGCTGTGATGTCCTTTTAAGGAACTGTGATGTCCTTTTAAGGCACTGTCACGTCCTTTTAAGGCACTTCCACGTCTTTTTAAGGCTGTGATGTCTTTTAAGGCAATGCCAGTGCCTTTAAAGGATGTCACACGTAGCGGTCCACTAAGTCGACGTGCAAATCTTGCAGTCTCTAATCAGGCTAAAGCATACCCAGGTGATCCATTCCGTTCGCACACGTGCAAGTGTAATACACGATCAGTCAGTACTAAAACATTTAACGTCCCTCTACCAGTAAACAGTTTTCGTTATTGCTCCCAAAACCCCGGAACTCCTCCCCCCGTCTGCTTAAGAATTGCCATACTCTCACACTTAATGTTGGATAGTTTCTGCGCTCTATAAATGTATTATTATTATTATTTCTTTTTAGTAGTGTTTTTCTAATTTGTTCTTCTCGGTTTATAATTAATGTAAGCTTCGTATGATGTTTATTTTTGTCTGTTAGTATTTTTTTCTGTTTTTGTGCCTTGTATCTAATGAAAAGGCGCTTTACAAATGTAATATTATTATTATTATTATTATGTAATATTATTATTATTATGTAATATTATTATTATTATGTAATATTATTATTATGTAATATTATTATTATTATGTAATATTTATGAACATTTAGTTCTCTACCGACGGCAGTTATTTGAAAATCTTAACCATAAATAGTATCCAATTTCAGCTTTTGTTTTTGAGTGTATTACTACGATTATTACTATTACTACTATTACTAATCTTTATTGAAAGGGGCAGCTTTTATAAAAGAGAGTGATATAACCCAGAACAAAATAAATAAGATCATATGAGTAAAGAATCTTGTATTTATTGGTCAGTTTTGTTTTGTATCGAACTCATGATTTTAAAAAAAACCTTTGTTTCAACTAAATATTGACTTCGAACCTTGTTAAAGGGATAGCCGAGTTTTGTTTTCAAACCGCAAATGCCTTCAAAGTGCATGCTTATTGCTCTTATTCTTATCTATGACATTTCTAGTGCCTTTTTTCGGGACCTAAATTGTTATGAAGGTACTTTTAGACCCCATAATGTGTAAAATGCAGCCAATGCGATCATACCAATTCAGCTCCATTTTCAAAAAAATAATGATGACCGTCAATTAAACAATACATGGGCCGGCTGTGCGTAATATAACCAACACGACAAAGCCAACAACAACAAATCCAACATCGGCATTGTCTGAAATACAACATAAAAGGCGCTATTTCGTTTTTTCAAATTCTCGAATATTTGTGGTGGTACACAAATAGTAGACGTCGTAATACATATGGATATTTCAGCCGTCTTTGAACCGATTTTGATCAAACAAAGATGATTTCGTCGTTTGAATTGTATGTTCTTTCAAATTTGAAACTCAGTTTTTCCATTATCTCACAAAAACATATTTTGGTATAGCGCCTTCTGCAAC